AATCCATCCATAGAGATTGTGTTGCTCATTAATGACATTACCTTGTTATTCTGATTCAGCTTTAGTACATGACATCTGCTTTGTCTTTCACTGTAATCAGTATCAAGACGTTATTGTCCCACTAATTATCTTTCTCCCATCAAATTTCTGGTACACCTATTATGTCAGGATCCATTAAAATCAGGCATCTAGTTTTTCTTCTCATTAATTGCTGTTGTAGCGCTGGCTTAGAAGCATGTATAGATTTGGCTCAGCTTTCTCTTTTTCTGTGCTGTGTTTAGGTGAGACTTTATTTATTTGCTGTTTGCCATGTGCTATCTTGGTTTGCCAGCTCCTTCTTAGACAATACAGAATTTTTATTGCTTCATCTCTACAGGATGCATCATCATGAGCTGTGTAGAGGACATGCAGAAGGCATCTCCTACCTCTGCCAGTACAATCTCTAATTTAAAAAGTCCCCTGTAACATTTTGGACTGTTAAATGCTCACTAGCAATGAGCATTTTCCTTCTGCAAGGTTTTGCCTTGCCTCAGCCTCCATGGTCTCTAAAAAGTCTTGTTTATTTTATGCATGTGGACTTCCCTATAAATAAGTAGAAAGCAATGCAATATAGGCAGTTGCTGATGACCTGCTGCTTTGCCATTCATTGCGGGTATTATTCCATAGATATCACAGCTGAAGCAAGTGGGGTCCTACAGAGCACTAGAGTAACTTAGACCAGATTGTACCATACCTGTAAGGAGCTTGTCCTATCCTATGTTGGTGTGCCCATCTCTAAATTTTGAGCCAACGCTGACCTTTGAGCCTGTTCCTGAAGCAACTTCCCAACAGGACTCCTCAGGCCAGAGCACCTCACTTCAGTATGTGCTGCAGGCACTGCAGGTGTTTGGAAAGTGCCTGAGCCACAGCTCCAGTGAACACCATCTCCAAAACTCTTGGGGGCACCGCGTTTCCTGCAAGCTCTCTCTCTTCCCCAGCAAAGTTCTTCCAGCACAAATGCTGCTTTCAGCTGATTTCCACTGTATATATCACAGCCTTCACTTGCGCAAGGAGTTCGGCTCATCATGACTCCTCATCCTCTGGCTCTCCGTGTTGCTGTGGTTGACAACTGACATGTATGCATTTATAGAAGGATGCGGGAGTTCAAATCCCCATGCAGTTCTAGGCAGGGGGAGGAGCAGACCTGTGTATGTATATAGCTGCGGTGTTATGCTAGTCAGTGACATCATTTATCAGATCATTTGATGGGACATATTACTACCTTGTGCTTTCCATTGTGGAGCTATAGTTTCCAGACATAATATTTAGCCTTGGTTTCTTCCTTTTGAATGTATCCTCCAAGGCATCTTGGAAGTTCTCTTGGGCACGGAATTGAAGCAATGGGAAAGGGGAGTTGGAAGGTGCACCCAAATGGTGTTATGAGAGGAGGAGGGTGGTGGAGTGTGCCCCAGCCAGAGTGTTCTGGATGGGCACTGCATCCAGGAGCTTGACAGAAAGATGATTTAGCAAAGTTTTCAATAGCCCAAAGGGAAAGGAAAGACTGCAAGCTGCATTCAAAAATGGACCAAGTAGTTGAAAACTGAGCGTACTTTGCAGTGTAATGCGTAAGTGCCCCTCACTAAATAGGTTTCCCGTTTCTTCTTCAGACATCAAAATACTCAGCAGGAGCAAACCTTGGATTAAGTTTTGTGGAGAAGATCTCAGAAACAATTCAGAACTGAAAGATCAGGTCCAGCCTACTGTGGCAGTTTCCTTCCAACTCCTTCTGGAAATACTTGCTATCTAGTAAGATACACACATCTGTAGTGAGAATTAGAAAACAGCACGCTTCATGGGACCCAACAACATCTACTCTGTGAGAACTCATTAAAAGTACTGGCCAACATAACCAGCTATTGCCCTGTCATTCTTTATTGATAGTGAATGGAAACTGTAATAAGAAATATTTGTGGACACAGAAAATGTTTTGGGTTTTTTTTCTAGTTATTATCTACCATCACCAAGCTGATTTTGTTAAGCAGATTTGGCACTAACAACCAGCAATAGCTAATAAATTCAATGTTAGGCTTATAAGGTTCTGACAGATTGTTGGCAGCTGCCTTAAATGCAGGGAAGAGCTCTCCTAGTGTGGGTTGCAAATGCTTATTTATACCATACTGTGGGTCTGTTTGCCCCAAATTTTGCTGCCTCCTTTTAGTAGATGTCATTGGTGCGATATATGGAAAGGGTATAAGAGCTGATCAGAAATACAGTATCCAGCTACGCTAGAGTTCAGCACAAATGGATTAAAGATAGGAAGCTCAAGCTTAAGTTATTACTTTTTTACAGTAAGAGTAAGAAACATTTTCATTTATGAATGCAAGATTTGTGGTAAGAATGTAGCTAGGCCTTACCATAGATGGTTTTACTGTGAATATTTCAGTGATAAGCTTTTCCATGCTAAGAAGGTTTTAAATATTATGCAGAGTTTTTATACTGACTTGCTGTTAATTGGTGGGGGACTCTAGAAGACAGTGGCTACACAACTTGTTCTTAGGCTTCCTTTTAGCATGCCTTAAAAGTGGAAGATTATGTGCTCAGAGGTATTTCAACAGCCAGTATTTAGCTTAAAGGTTGGTTAGATAGAGGTCATCTTCGGATCACGGAAAACCAACTGAAAAGAAAATTTTAGAAAGCCTGAGTGCTCAGTTGCAGTAACAGAGCATGTACACATGGAGACATTTTAGATAATCAAAACCTTGAACAGCCACGTTTTAGTGGTGATGCTAAGAATGTGTACAGAAACCGAATAAGCTGACGTCTCATTGTGCAGACAAGTTGAGTCCACAAATTCCCAGTTACACAATGGACCACAATATATTTGTATAACTGAGCTCCACTTTTATATTCACTGCATTTTATCATCTCTCATTTACTTGGAAGAAGAATCAAGAATCTGTCCCAGCACTAGGTGTAACTGAGTAGTTGACAAGCTTATGACCATTAAAGTCAACGCTGAGTGAGGGGGTGAATAAAGGAGTAGGAAGTTATTTCTATCTGGAAAAGAGAACAAAAGAAGTCAGGAAGTTGAATTCTGCAGTGAAAGCAAGTTGGGCATCATTGACACACAATTTTCTCTTCACATGTGATGAAAGTATCTCTGGACCGTACAAGACTGATGGCGGAAAATTCAGATTAACTATGTTGCAGTGTCCAACTTGACCTACAGTTGTTTGTGAGTCAGATGGTCAGCACTTTCCATCTCTGACTGAGTATTCTTCTCTCTTTCTGTCGATATGCTTTACAACTCCACGGCAAGACTTCAGAAATAGTTATAAGTTTCTTTATACCACTACACCAAAAGAGCCTTTCTTCCTCAAAAAGGAAAAATAGAATAATCTAGAAATATACATTGACATCGTGCAGCAGGTCTAAAATTCAATTTTAAAAAAAATTGCTGACAGCGTTTCACACAATCAAAAGAAATACTTAATGTAAAGCACTAAATGCTGTTTTGGAAAGTGTGTGGGTGATGCAACCAAGCATTATGCACCATAATGAACTTTCACAGAAAATGGATAAAGCACAAAAACATCCCATTGCCTTTATAACAGACACATTGTGCTTGTTTTGAGTCTGTCTTCTGAAGGTGCCATGCAATGCTGTTAGTCCTTGTACTGGTAAAGGCAGTGAACTGCCCCAGGTTGCCTTTTCAGTTCCTCTTACATCTTTATCAATGCCCATCTTATCTCCTCTCATGTGTCTCTCCTTTGGGCTGAAGAGTCTTAGTCTCATCCTTGAACAGAGTCTTCCAGAACTCTGATTATCCTTGCTGCCCTTCTGTGAGCTGGACTAAAAAGGACAAAATACCACGCTACGTTTTATATAAGTCGAAGCGCTCAGATGTATACAGTCCTCATGCAACAGGCTAGTCTCTACTCTGTTCTCAAGTCCTTTCCTAATGCTTTCTAACAGATAGTTTGCTTTTTGACTGCTGCTGAGTATTGAGCTAGTGATTTCGTAAGAACAGCTATGCCCCAAGGTCCCATTTGTGTGTGTAAGATCCAGCTCAGAGCCCATTAGTGGCAGTAATCCCAGGATTGTTCTTCCCTTACGTGCATAATTTATTTAGGTTTACTCACAATGAATTTCACAGAGACTGTCTCTGTTACTATTTCTCTCACTGAACTACCCCACTGCTTTATTAATGGTAATTGCCCTTCTCTTTCAGTTTGTCCAGCTGATCAGCAATTCAGACAAACTAAGAACAATTGTTCCTTACACCACTCGCTGCCTCTCTGTCAGACCTGATGAAGGTACCGTATGCCCAAACGGTTTTGTGATTGTCTCAAGTGATCTAACAAAATATATCGCTGCTTTGCACAAACATGAATTTTCATCCGTCCTTTGGATTCTCCAGAAGCCCATTGTTAGTGTGAAGGACTCTGCGAGGCTCGTGTACCTCTTCAGCGCTGTGCAAAACGTTCTGTCTTGAGCAGGGAGCGGGATGGGCTCAGCTGCCCAGTTTGTTAATTGAACTCTTTTTCCTGATAAATGCTATTGAAAGAAAACTTTTGCAGCCTGCCTCTTTCTGTGCACTCGAATGTAATTTTTGTTCTGAGGGTAAATCAAACAAACAAGCAGCTATATGATTCCCTCTCACAGAGACATTTGGTACTGTGACTGCAGTTTTCTGACCATAAATGTCTTCATGGCCCGAGGAAACAGTGTAGCATGTCCTTCCTCACTAGAGGAAGAAGGGAAATGTCTGTATTACAATATAAATCTTTATTTTCTTGAAAAAAATAATCTGAATGAAGAGAAATGACACATCTGCATAAACTGAGTAAACAGCTGTCTTAAACCCTTGGCATTTGTTTCACCTGGCTGTATGTAATCTGGATGACATGTAGGTCCTCGTGTGCTCAGGAAGTAATGTTTCCCCTGGCACTGAAGTACGACAAGAAACAATACCGATGCAATTTGTAAAATGGGAAGAAGCCTTGACTGTATTGTCTTACCTTTTTCAGAAGCCGGGGCAAGGTCAATAAAACTTCGACATTTTTCACCTTTAAAAGAAAAGGATTATTTTAGGAGACAGAAGTTGATTGATTTTCCTCTGCCTCCTCTTTCTGACTGGTGTTTCTGCCATCATTCCCACCTGAGACTCTACAGGACTACTAGCTTGTCTCACACAGAGAGCAGACATTTACCTGTGCCTCCAACCTGGGCCAAAATTGCTATGCTCACAAGGCTGGACTCTCCCTTAGGATTGAAGTCCCTTGATTAGGAGTATGAAATACAGTTAGTGAAGAAAAATGTTCTCTCTGACAGTTGGGTCCCAGTTGGGTCAGTTCTGCTCTTTGCCAAGGCTGGGAACAGTGTTGGGCTCCAGATGGAGGAGCGTTGGGAGAGCACAGGCCTATTTCACCAACACTTTTTCCCTCCTCCTCCTCATCGTCAGGACAATGTGTGTGCCCCACCAGGGTCTGATGGAACCTCCCAGTGCCAGGAGGCATTGCCCCAGGCACAGATTTCTCAATAGACAGATATGACACGTGTGACTAGGACAGACAAAACCTGAAGCACAAAGCAAGCTAAGCGATTGCATAGCATTAAAAAAAATTGTTAAAAAAGCAGGCAAATGCCTTGGTATAACCATCACAGCCCTGTGCCACTCCTTCTGCTTTGTGGCTGCTGCATCCATTTATCATTGTAAATTAAATTTTCTATGTTTTTGCAGGCATTCTTGAGAATTGCTTCTGAGCAGGCAAATGTATCTTAAGGGTGGATGTTTTGACCTTTCTTTTTATTTCTTCGGGCAATCAGAGATTATAAAATAATTCCTCTGCTCTAGGTGCATCCATACACCAAGTGTATGTGTTTCCTTCAATATGCTATGTTCCAAGGTGACCAACAGCCTGCCTGCCTCGAGGAATCAGAGCACAGCATGCCTGCCAGAGCTAATGGAGAAGAAACCATTTTGCCCTTTAAGACTCTAATTGACGCAAAAGCAGCTTCAGGAGTAGGTTTTTTATTAGTTTTGCTAAATTTTAATTGCACAGTTGAAAGACTGATTTAGGAAATGTAAGCCATTAAAAAAGAATAAACAGTGAAATGCTGTAGTGACATTGAAGTCTGTGTAATTTTTTCTGAGTTGTAATTGATTGTATGTGCAAACCAATATAAAATGTTAATCCTTGTGGTGTTTTTGTTGGCAGGATTAAGATAAAAGTAACCATTCAAATGATAGCTGTGCTGAAATAACAATCTATTATTATAATGCTATAATTACCACATTTTATTTATTTTTTTCAGTTTTAAACCTATGATAAATATGCTAAAAAGTGTCACGTACATAGTCTGTAGTCTGTTTGTCTGTGTATAAGTTGCTATAAAAGAAAAGATTCACTTGACATTGAAATGAACAATTTAATATCTTCATGGCAGGGGGAAGGACTTCTGCTCTGTGAATCCAGGCACTGTCAAGAGGACAGTCAAGAAACAGAAGTGACACTTGACTTATCAGAGCTCCATCTCTGTTTCCAAAGAGGTAGGTACGGCAGTCCTTATCTGAGCGGAAGGAATGTCAGATGACTAAGTTACTAAGTTTTGGGGCAGACAGACTGAAAGATGCCTGGTGGACCACAGAAATCACAGCATCCCAAAAGTGTTGTGTTGATGGGACCTTGCAGGTCTGTTGCCCAGCCTCCTGTTCAGATCAGGACTATCACTGATGCCCGATCAGGTCAGCTCTGACTTTGCCCAGCCAAATCTTGAAATACTTCAAGGATGACGATACCCATTCCTTAGAGACTCCAAGGATGGAGTTTCTCCCCTGCTGTGGTCCCAGGGCTGCACCACCCTTCTGGAGAAATCTTTCCTTATGCGCAACCTGAACTTCTCTAGCGGCTCTGTCATCTTTGTAGTCATTCTTCCTCTATCTGAAGGAACATGAACAAGCCCATCTCCCTCAACTTCTTTTCACACGTGGTGTACTTTAGGCCCCTGACCGAGAAATCAAGATAAATAAGTGGACTATAAAAGATACTGTGCTGTAAGTTGGAATCATTCTCATCCAGAGACTCTGAGTTTTAGGGCATGAGATGCGTCAGGAATGCATTGACATAAAATCAAGGGAATATAGGGAGAGTGACCCTTAGACTTGAATTTGATATAAGCAGATTAAGCAGGATTTTTCATTCTAGCCATATGGATTTGTGGTTTGGGTTTGGTTTTTGTGGGCTTTTTTTCAGATGTAAGCTATTACTTTTATTGCAGCTTTATCTTAACCTGACTTCAAGTCAACTGACTAGCACTGAGTCATCTCTCACCTGTGGTTGCAGTAAATCTGAAGCCATATTACTGGAAACCTTTAACAAATACCTGACTCTAGGATGTTGTCCTAAGACAGCCAAAGGAGAATGGCATTTGCTGCTACAGAAACTGCACGGGCCATTCTAAAAGTTGGAGATACATGATGCCTTCAGATACATAGCAAGGTACAAAGCCTTTCTGACACGTGTGGCTTCTCAGGAGGCTGATGGTACCATAGTGTTTGGCTGCAGGTTCCTTGTGTTCAGGACGGATGTACAGAGTGTGATCACAGGCTATTTGGAGGAATGTGCATCCTTGTCCTCCCTCAAATCAGCTTGCCCAGAACACAGTCTCTCCCAGGAGAGCTGGCTGTGGCTGAGGCCTCCAGGTTAAATAATATGGACAGAAAATGGTGGAGTGTCCAGAAAAAGGCCTTTTGGAGCCATAGCATAATGAATGATTGTAGGTTGGAGACAGAGAATAAGAAAAGCACGGAGGGAGGTCACTTTCAATGGCTGATATCCAAATTGCACCTGGCTTACTGCTAAAGGTTGTGGTAGGAAGTGCACAAGCAGTTCTTGATCAAGAACACTTCCCTTCATTGTCCCTGTTGCTGGAGCACTGGAAACCCTTCCTCCACCTTCAGTGGTAACCACTGGTGGTATTTATAGACCACATTCATACTTCAGCGTGCAGACACGCATCTCACTGAGAACTGAAGATGTCAGCAGTGCTTTCACTGTTCCTCTTAGGATTTATTCTAAGTTATTTTTGGGTATCTTGTATAACTGATCTCTTAAGCCCTCTTAAGTTTAATTTTAGACTTGGCAGAGTTTATCCTGCTGTGCTGCCCTTTTCCAGATGCATCTTCTCCTCGTAACCAGGCTCCTGGAGAGTCTTTAGAGAATACAGAAAAGGCTGTTTAGAGATGCAACAAGAACAGTGTCTAGGATTCATCCCCCTGATAGTCCTGCCTTCACCCAGTCACAGCAATAATTCTGACAGAAGAAAGCCAAGGAGTGATCTCTGCTGCATATAACTCACATAGAAAGAAGACCACTCTCTGCTTCCATGCAGGAGCAGTGGCCACGTACAGTGCACGTGAAGCTCTCAGGAGCTCACCAGTGTCAGGTTGTTGCTGGAGGCTGAGGAGAGAGGACAGACCGACCACCTAAACATCAACAAGAGCAAAGCATTTGGCTTCTTCTATGGCTTCCCAAGAGTGAGGTGAAACATCACCTATGGAAGCCCTTGTGAATGCATTCCCTCGTAACCAGGCTGGCTCTGCACAAGCTCCATTGTGTCTCTGCTAGGCTTCCTGAGAAGGAAGCATGGGTCATAGGGGCCTGTAGGTCTGGGTACCAGCAACTGGAAAGCCCCAAATTTGTGTGTGTTTTTTGCTAATTAATCCTAACTAATTAATCTAATCCTGCATATGTGCCTGTGTCTGTGTATTTGTAATTCACTAGGGAATTTCAAACTGAAGAGATGTATAGGAAAGACCCAAGGTCTGAGCTGGTGGCTAGGTAAAAGTCTTGGTACGGATAATAGGCTTAGAGCCCATGATAATATCTGAGGGACCACTAGTGTGATGTGCTTGTGCATCTACAGAGGGAAGGGGTGTGCAAGTGTCACTAGTGATCTTCAGACCTGCTCAGCCAGAGCAGAGGAAGAGGAGCGAGCTTGCTGATGGCAGTGATAATGTTGTTTCTGTGGGTGCTGGTAAAGGCACGGCTCTCTCTGGGTTGATCTATGTGGCCAGCCACATTAGTGTCATGTATGCTTGCATGTGTGTGTGTGTGCGCGCGCCCATGTGAGAACTTGCATCTTGAATACCTGCCCAGCCTGAACTGGGAAGGACACCAGCAGCAAACAGACAAGGAGGAGAAATTCCCTGGTCTTAAAGTCCCCTGGGCTCAGCTTCCCAGGAGCACGCACAGCGTTTCCTCAGACTCGTTGAGACTTATCCCATTTCATGACTCTGCAGCTGTGGAAGCTCCCACAGCACTGCAAGTCAAATGTTTCCTAGTTTCTACTGAAGGAGCTTTGGGCTTCTGTGAGTTCTTAGGAAACAGTGTACAGGAAGATGTGGATTTCATCACTGCATCGGTCCCAGGGACATAGAGAGAAAGTTGTGGCCGCATAAGGACATGATCTCTCTCTCTGTCTTGCTTCCAGCATGAGGCTTGTGTACTTTCTTCTCCTGCTGCTGCTGCTCACAATGTGGTGGGAAGTCCTGAGCCTTCCAGCCTTTCCAAGTCTGTGGAACATACTTGTCATGAAAATCGTCTCATGTCTGCAAAATCAAATCATTTCAGGAAAAAGTAGAAGGCTGTGTGAAAAGCGAGCACTATGCTGGCAGAGCTGCATTCTGGAGAAAGTAAATGGGCTGGTAAAGAGTAAGACTGCTGCAGGGATGGGAAGGAGGCACTGCAGGACACCGCTGACAAGCACAAGTCACATGGTGGAGGGGTCACCACATGTCCTGTCACCTCAGATAGGTAGGTCAGTCCCCCCGACACCTCCCTTGCCATAGCACATGGAGGTAGTGGGGCTGGTCTCTTACCTTCTCCACTGAAAAGTCCTACTTCAGAGTGTCACACACACTTTGGACAGCTGGGACTCTGTGTTGGAGGCAAATGCTCTTACCTTCCTCAGGCAGAGTTCAGAGACATCTGTACCTCCCTAGCTTGAACAATAAGTTGAAAACAAAAGCTAAGAAAGAGAAGTGGCTTTCCGAAGTCCCCCAAAT